ATTTTAGTTGGTTACCTTGAACATTCTACTTAGAATATCATGTAAAAAAGATGGCCTGTTTTTAAGGTTTTCCTTTGAAGCTTTCCAGGCATCTGGATGTCACACACACACACACACATGATACAATAATGGTCAATGAGAATGGCCAGTACATTTTATACAGAGATTCACGTCTTGTGTTATCACAAATCCCATTGTAATGCTGGAAATTGACATTGAATTTCTAGAACAAGGAACCAACTTTCAGATACCAAGAAAATGCAAGCCAGGCACAGAGATCTGAAACACAAGAGGCTAAATGAAGCTTGAAATATTTGACTGGGGTGCAGAGCTAGTCTCAGCTTCAGAAAGTGTGGTTTAAGCCACTGAAAGAACAAAGAATGGGAGGGGGATGGAAAAACAACAGCCCTGGCCCCTTCCCCTTCCTTAACCCTAAAGGCAATAAATGGAACAATAATTAAAATAATGATCATAACAATCACGTGTCACATTCATCTAGAGTGTGGCAGATAATGTGGTAGTAAAGTTGCTAATGGTACCTGCAGAAAAACCACAGTGTGAGTCATTAAGTGATGCTAGAAATGTTTCAACTGACTCAACCGTCAGTCTACTTCCAAAGGACTTTATTTTTCAGTCTGAAGTCACTGCTGTGTTTGTGCTGTGGGAGCAGGACACACTGACTCTCTGGGCTGCACATGTCTGCTTGGGCTCAGGGAGCCACACTGGGCTTTGAGATTCACACACAGGGATTCTTAGGAGAGCCACCAGGAAAACCGGTGACAGATTTGCCGCATGGGAGAAACGTCTCAGATCTGAGCACTCACTACCTGGAAAAGCTCGTCCCTGGTTGCCCTTGTGGGCACACTGCAGAAAACGGAGGTGCTGTGTTTATGAGGTGCTCGGGGTTACCAGCCAAGAGCAGAAGGCACAGCCTTCCTGAACTGGGCATCGGGCAAACTGCTCATGGGAGGCCTTGAAACTGCAGGGTCTCTAACATCAAGAATAGCCACGATGGAGCTTGCAGGGACCTCTGGTGTTTGACTGACAGCATATGCATTTAGCCTTCTGCCCAAATCGCAGGTCAGATTTCCAAACTCCACAAGAGGCTGGTTCTGCATACTGCCTTTCCCCTAGCTTTCAAAAAGCCAGGGCTCATTCAGAACAAAGTGACAGATGGCCATTTCACTGCTAAATCAATCACCTTTGCAGTTCTATTTTGGTTAAAACAATCTTGTAGGAATAAGCCACAAAAGGATTCTGTGACTCAGGGCTGCTATCAGTCACATCCACAAGCCTGTGCAGGTGACAGACCCTGATGGGATAGGGAACACTCAACAGGATGAATCCACATAAACAGCAAGAAGACACAGCACCACAAAAAGATTTCAGATGTTCTTTGTCCAAACACTCTTCGTGGGGAAAAATCAGGGAGAAAAAGCCTTCTGACCATAATCATAGTCTCAGTAACAATAGGAATAAAAATAAAAGCGTCCTAGAGAACTGGTTAGAAAGCAACAACTTGCATTCTTAAACTTACACTTCTTACATAAAAGCACTATATTCTCCTAGGAACTTACCACATACACCCAAGCCACTGGTATACTGTTTCCTTTTACATCGTGTACTAAAATCCAGATTACTGATTTATACAAATAATAGACCAAAAGCACTGTCCAAAACACACCTACATTACACTGTGTGGACCAGGTACCTGGGCTTTGCTAAAAAAAAAAAAAAAAAAACCCAAAAACAGTATTTATGATAAAAATGTAAACAAAAAAATTTATAAACTGAGAATCAGAGGCAGTCTTTCACCCAGATTTCTAACTCGTAAAAGTCTAACATAGGTCATTAATGGTTCAGAAGTGATTCATGTTTGAACTTCCAGACTGAAGTGATGCTCTACACTTCTGACTTTCAAAGCAAATGGAATGTCCTGGTGTGCTTTCTGTGTTCAAATTTAGTTTTAAATAAACAGCAGTGATATAGTCAGTATGATTGACTTGGGTCAAGCTTTCCTGTTGAACTGGAGACAATTACTTAACCCCCGTTTCAGGCCACAAAGAAAGGATTGCAGATGAAGAATGTGTGTGTGTGTGTGTATAATATATATATATAAAATAAATGTAAATCCACAGATAAACACAAATAGGTAGATATAGATATGTTTATCTCCAAAAAGGCAATAACAAAAATACCAAACTATGCTTGCATTGTGGCGGCAGAATAAGAGAATGTTAAAAATGAAGGGGAAAACTGATAAAATCTATTACAGTTTTAAACAACTATGATAATAGCTTAATTTTTTTAACCAAACTTGCCTGTAACTCCCCTCCAAACAGACAGACTTCTTTTAATAGGAAGGAGTTCCTTACACAAAATGCTTTTGTATTCACATAAATCTATACTATTCAGAACAAAACCAGTTCTGTTGGCAGAGACTGTGGATTCGCAGGGACATTTAAGCTCTCATGAAAATGGAAAGCAATCAAGTCTTTATGTCTACAAATTACACATTTAACAGTCTTAGAAATTTGGCAAAGTTCGTGATGACATCTAGGATTTCACCAAATCGTAGACATAAATATGGAAATCATTATCAAACTTGATGAAACAGACAGACAGTCTGGCCTCTACTTGGTGGATGATCGTGCCAATTCTTTTAGAGCCATCTTCTTTAGCATATTCCACCTGTTTGCCTATCAGGCTCTCCATGGTTTTTCCTTGTTCCCCTTCTGCTGGAGGTGAATCAGTATAATCAGACATAATGTGAAGGTTGCCTTCTTTATAATCATCTAAGAGCTGGTACATATACAAGACAGGATCTTTCTCATAGGTGATGTAAAACCACGTGCTCATTATAGGGACGCGTGCTAGGACCATTCCGCTCCACTCGTCTTTAGAGCCATCCTCGCTGTCAAACACGTGCTTCACTGCTTTGCCAATTATCATGTCGGCTAGGTGTGAATCACTGATTTGAGATGTTGCAATTCTATCAGGGAGGACTTCAAGCGCAAAAATTCTTTCATCTTTATTAAGTTCCAGCCCATAAACACAGTCAAACCCATCGTATTTGACAAGATACAAAGAAGGATTTACAGGCACCTGATCCAGAATGGTTCCTTTCCACTGGGTGACAAGGCCGTTCCCCTCTTTCCACCCATGCCGAATCCTGCAGCCTATCATGCTCCGCCGGGGCCGGGAAACAGGTGTGCTGGGCCCCGCACCGCTCCGATGTTTTTTGTGGGACGTCTTCTTCTTCATCATGCTTACAGATACACCGGCGTGGCCTGCATCAGCTCTGGACGGCTGGCCAGGTGTCTTCCTGAATAGAGTCGTCATTCATCTGTATTTTGGTGGGCAGCAGAACCGCTGGAAGAGGGTGGAAAGGTCAGTATTCTCCAATTTGAAACTTTTTACGGAATTTCAGTGTTCTTATTAATCCAGCATTCAAGTGCCTCTTCTACAAGTTCAGCGAAAACTCGAAGCCATCAGGTCTCTGCGGGGCTGCGGAGGCCAACGTCCGCAGCCCCGCGGGCCCCGCCTTCCAGCGTCGCGCTCCAGGCGGGCGACCCGGTCGGAAGGCGCCGCCCC